AAAAATAGCTATAACTACAATAACTTAAGTGTTGCACAAGATAAAGAGATGTCAATCGTGACATCAAAAACATAAAATTGGCAAGGAAGTAAAAATGTAAAGCTGTAGAATGAAAACTTGAGAGTTGTGATCAACTTATAATATTATTAAAATAAGTTGTTTTATGAAAAATTCAGAGTCACCAAAAAGCAAAAAATGACTATGGATAAACAAAGTATACGTGTAGAGAAAAAAATAATGAAATCACAAGGGAAGAGAGAAAGAAAAAAGAAAGGTACAAAGGAATTACAAAACAGAAAACAACAGAATGGCAATAAGTACATGCCTATCAATAATTACTTTATAGGCACATGGGCTGAATTCTCCAATCAGAAGATATAGAGTGGGTAGTGAACCACAGCAACAAAAAGACCCATGCATGTGCTGCCTACAGGAGGCTCACTTCAGATGCAAGGACACACACAGACTGGAAGTAAAAGGATGTAAAGAGATAGTCCATGAAAATCAAAAACAAAAGAAAGCTGAGTTAGCTATATTTTTATTAGACAAAATAGTCTTTAAAACAAAAACTGTAATAAAAGACAAAGAAGGTCATTACATAAGCATAGAGGGGTCAATCTAACATGAAGATGTAACATTTGTGAATACTTACGTACCCAACATAGGACCACCTAAATAAAGCAATTATTAAAAGATTTAAAGGAGAAATAGATAGTAATGTAATAATAGTAGGGGACTTTAATACTCCAATTTTATCCATGGATAGATCATCAAGACAGACACCAGTAAGAAAATATTGACCTTAAATCATACTTTAAATAATATGAACTTAAAGAACATATACAGAACATTCCATCCAAAAGCAACAAAATATATATTCTTACCTGGTGCACATAGAACATTCTCCAGGATTGATCATATATAAGGACACAAGAAAAGTCTTAATAGATTTTAAAAGATTAAAATAATATTAAGCATCTTTTCCAACCACAATTGAATGAAACTATAAATCAATTATGAGATGAAAAATGGAAAATTCACAAATATGTGAAGATTAAACCTCATGCTTCTGAACAATCAATGAGTCATAGATTTAAAAAAATGTTAAATACCTTGAAACAAATAAAAATGGAAACAAACACCAAAACTTATCAGATGAATCGAAAGCAGTTGATGGTTCACAGAATATACTTATATATTAAGAAACAAGAAAGATCTCAAATGAATAATTTAACTTTATACTTTAAGGAACTAGAAAAAACACTAATGAAGCCCAAACTTAGTAGAACAAAGCAAATAAAGATCAGAGCAGAAATAAATGTAATAAAGACTAAAAGAAACAGTAGAAAAGATCAGTTAAAACTAAGAGCTTTTCTTTAAAGAAAAAATATTAAGAAAACTTTACCTAGGTACACCAAAAAAAGGGGGAGAGAGGACTAAAATAAAATTATAAGTAAATAGGAAACATTACAACTGATACCATAGAAATGCAAAGAATGATAAGAGACTACTATGAGCAACTATATGCTAACAAAATTAACAGCCTGGAAGAAATGGATAAATTCCTAGATATTTACCAACCATCAAGACTGAGTCCTGAAATAATACAAAATCTGAATAATGCAATTTATGCAAGGATACATATAGTATCCTTGCTAGTAAATCAGTATCAAAAGCCTCCCCAACAACCAAGTGTCTAGAACCAGATGGCTTACTGGTAAATTTATAAATATTTAAAGAAAAATTAGTATCAATCCTTCTCAAACTCCTTCAAACAATGGAAGAGAAAGGAACACTTCCAAACTTAGTTTACTACACTGATATTAACCTCATACCAAAACCAGATGAGAATACTACAAGAAAAAAACTATAGGCCAATATCTGCAATGAACATAAATGTAAAATTCCTCAACAAAATATGAGCAAGTCAAATTGAACAATACGTTAAAAGGATCATCCACCAAGATCAAGTAGGAGATATACCAGAAATACAAGGAAAGTTCAACACCCACAAACCAATCACCACATTAACAAAAGATAAAAATCATGAGAGACAAAAAAATGTCCCGAATGAAAGAACAAATCAAACCGCCATAAAAAATACAGCTAAGCAATGAAGAGCTAGCCAACGTACCAGATGCACAGTTCAAAACACTGGTAATCAGGATGCTCACAGAAGTGGTTGAGCAAAATAGAAGAAAAAGTGAAGGCTATGAAAAGTGAAATAAAGGAGTATGTATAGGAAACTAACAGTGAAGGGAAGGAAATGGGGACTCAAATCAACAGTTTGGACCAGAAGGAAGAAAGAAACATTCAACTGAAACAGAATGAAGAAACAGGAATTTGAAAAAAATGAGGAGAGTCTTAGGAACCTCTGGGACAACTTTAAATGTTCCAACATCTGAATTATAGGGGTGCCAGAAGGAGAAGAGGAAAATCAAGAAATGGAAAACTTATTTGAAAACACAGTGAAGGAAAACTCCCTCAATCTGGCAAAGGAAATAGATTTTTAGGGAGTTCAGAAAGCTCAGAGAGTCCCAAAGAAGTTGGACCCAAGGAAGCACACACCTAGGCACATCATAATTACATTAGCCAAGATTAAAGATAAAGAGAGAATCTTAAAAGCAGCAAGAGAAAAAAAGACAGTTACCTACAAAGGAGTTCCCATAAGACTATGAGCTGATTTCTCAAAAGAAACCTTACAGGCAGGAAGGGGCTGGAAATAAGTAATTCAAATCATGAAAGGCAAGAACCTACATCCAAGATGACTCTATCCAGCCAAGCTATTATTTATAATAGAAGGGCAGATAAAGTGCTTCTCAGATAAGGTCAAATTAAAGGAGTTCATCATCACCAGGGCCTTATTATGTGAAATGTCAAAGGGACTTATCTAAGAAAAAGAGGAAGATGAAAAATACATATAGTAAAATGACATCACACTCACAACTATCAACAACAGAACCTAAAAAACAAAAACAAAAATGAACTAAGTAAACAACTAGAGCAGGAACAGATTCACAGAAATAGAGATCACATGGAGGGTTATCAGTGGGGAGCAGGGAGGGGCAGAATGGGGGAAAACGTACAGGGAATAAGAAGCATAATTGGTAGGTGCAAAAAAGACAGGGGTAAGTTAAGAATAATATGGGAAATGGAGAAGCCAAAGAACTTATACGTATGACCCATGGACAGGAACTAAGGTGGGGGAAAGATGGTGGGAGGCAGGGTACAGGGTGGAGGGGAATAAAAGGGAGAAAAAAATGGGACAACTGTAATAGCATAATCAATAAAATATATTTCTAAAAATAAAATAAAATATATGATAAAGCATTTGACATAAAGTCATTTATGATTTAAAAAGCTCTAAAAATGTGGGCATAGTGAAATGTACCCCAATATAATGAAGACCACATATAACAAGCCCACAGCTGGCTGTCTCCTAAATGGTTAAAGGCTGAAAGTTTTTCCTTTACTATCAGGAATAAAACAAAGATGACCACTCTTGCCACTTTTATAGTAAAATTATTTTTAATTTTTATTTATTGATGTTTAGAGAGAGAAAGGGAGAGTAAAAGAGAATAAAACATCAACTTGTTGTTTCAGTTACTTACACATTTATTGGTTGATCTTGTCAGTGCCTTGACTGAGGATCAAACTTACAACCTTGGCGTATCAGGACAATGCTCTAACCAGCAGAGCTACCCAGCCAGTGTCAGTGCCACCCTTGCCACTTCTATTTAACAAGCTATTGGAAGTCCTAGCCAGAGCAGTTAGTCAACAGAGAAAAATGAAAGAAATCCAAATCAGAAAGGAAGAATAAAACTGTCACTATTTGCAGATGACATTTAGAAAACCCTAAATACTCCACCAAAAAAAATGTTAGAACTTATAAATTACTTCAGGAAAGTTACAGGATACAAAATCAATACATAAAGAAAATGTACCATTTGTGGTTTGTGTTATACTTCAAAATTTTTTTACCAAGGAAAAAAATGCTGCTCTGTATTTGATATCTTTACCTACCAAATTCTGATTTCCATGAGGACAGGGGCCATATGAATCCCATTCATTACATGACCTCTGCCTCCCATTATATCCCTGAAATATAAGTTTTCTATATGTGATTGTTGGTAAGGTAATGAATAGATGGATGAACAGTTTCCCTAATCTCATTATCACCAAAATATTAAAAGCTATAATCATCTCAGGTCTTGATTCCTGAAAATTATCAGGAAAAAATTCATACTATTCATTCATTACTGGTGAATACCCTCTTTCTAGTATGGTGTGTAGCATATGGTAGATGCTCAATTGAGATTTTCAAAAATAAATGACTAGCCCTGACCAGTACTGCTCAGTTAGGTGGACGTCAGTCATTCTGCAAAGTAAGGGGTTGCAGGTTTCATTCCTGGTCAGGGTGCCTGCCTGGGTGGCTGGTGCAGGAGGCAGCTGGTCAGTGTTTGTCTCTCACATTATTGTTTTCTCCCCCTGTTTCTCCCTCCCTTTCCCTCTCTGTAAAATCAAATTAAATAAAATCTTTCTAAAAATACGTGTTTTACCTCCTAAAAAAATCAATACATAAAAATCTATTGCATTTCTATACACTAATAATAAACTATCATTAGGAGAAATAAAGAAAACTCCATTTATAATTATATCAAACAAACATACCTTGGAATAAATTTAAGCAGGGAGGTGAAAGAGCTGTACACTGAACACTGTAAGACATCAATGAAAAAAACTGAAGAAGACAAAAATAAATAAAAAGATTTTTCTGTGCACACGGAGTGAAAGAATTAATATCCAAAGCCATCTGTACATTCAATGCAATTCATTTCAAAATTCCAATGGCATTTTTCACAGAAATAAAAAAAAAAATCCTAAAATCTGTATGAATCTACAAAAGACCTTTAATAGCCAAAACAATCTTGAGAAAGACAGGGAATCTAAGAACACTTGTTATATAAGGAAAAAGAATTATACATATAATTGTGTCTTACCATTTGTATTTCAGTATCACCTTGCTCTTCAACTTTTATTACTTCCTCCTGGACTGAGTTACGCTCATGTTCTGCTTGTTTGTGCTCTTCTTGGAACTCTTTGCTAATTTCTCCTTGGACATTGTTAGCTTTGTCTTTGACGGAGTCAGATTCCGCTGAAGCAGGCAGCTGAAATAATGTTGGAACAGGGTGCAGCGGTGTGACGTGATCATAGTGAGTATGCAGGAGACGTAGAGCAATGTCGCTTGTTGCTAATATCCTTGGAATTTCAAATGTAGCTTGTATTTCACTGCATCTGATACTTCTGTACCTGTTAATAATTGATTTTAACAAAAAAGGAAAGGCCCAGGGAAACACTAGGTCTGTTGCAAATTTACTCCTAAGTACTATTTGTCTTCACTTTAATTTCCCCACAATTTAGAATATAGTCTTTGCAGGATTTGGACCCAGTTGCTAATTTTATCCTTCCCAAAACATGCTCTTGGGATGGACACTCTTGGGAAGGATATTCCATAATGCAATACTCTTCTTTGTCACCGGCAGCTCCTTCTGTCTCCTCTGCACAGACTTCTTCCTAACCATCCCTTAAACGTTGGTATCACTCAGCCCCCCATCCTTTCCTTCTCTACATAATCTCTTTGGATATTATTTCTAGGCTTCAATGATTATTTAAATTATCAGGAGCTTTTGATATGAGTTCTATGTTTCCTGAGGGTACGTAGCAGGAAGAAAGATCCTGAATGAACTTTAAGGAGTCCAAAAGTGCCCTTAAATGTGAGCATATAGTATGACTTAACGTTCATAAGAATCTGATGCCTGAAAAGTTCAGAACTCCTGATTTACATGCTAATGACTCCCAAAAATATATCTCCAACTCAGATTCTCTGAAGTCTTTCAGAGAGTTGCCCTTTGACATTTCATAAGTCTTCAGACTCAACAAGTCCATCCCTATGACCCCCTTGCCATCACCACCAAAATAAAAAAGACATTTTTCTGCCTCCATTATTCATTATCTTAGTAAAAGAAACACCTAATTCTCTTCTTTAGACCCAGATAATTAATGCAGAGCTAGTCATTTTACTTTTATTCTTTTAAAATTATACATATTAATTCTCTTCACTCTTCTACATATGACATATTTTATGATACAAGGTTCTATTACTATATTGTCTCTAATTTAGATTTAAACCACAGAGTATTTTGTAGCAAAAACAATATGGAAAATATTTTATTTCTTCCTTTTACTAAATATCCAAAATAAAATTCAGTTTCTTCCATTGTAATATGACTAGTCTTTTCAGAAGTGAGACCAGAACCTCCTAATTTTTTATTCTGGTAAATTGTGTTTTTAAATTTACTGCCATACTAACTCAATTAATTAGAAATGTTTGAGATCAAGCAGCAACTGAGTGCTCAGGAATTTATCATTACCACTGTCATTCCTCAGAAAGCTGTTACTTTGTTAAAAATAATTGGGGAAACATCCCTTGAACATCTAAACAATGGTAAGTATAAAAGTCTTATTTTTTGCCCTGGCTGGTATGGGTCAGTGGATTGAGTGCCGGCCTGTGAACCAGAAGGTCACCAGTTCGATTCCCAGTCAGAGCACATGCCTGGGTTGCAGGCCAGGTCCCCAGTCAGGGGTGTGCGCCAGGCAACCGATTGATGTACCTCACACATCAATGTTTCTCTCCCTCTCTTTCTCATTCCCTTCCCCTCTCTCTCAAAAAATAAATAAATAAAATCTTTTTTAAGCATTATTTTTTAGAAAGTATTATTTTTAATAGTTCACAAAGATAATTTCTTTTTTTAAGTTTGAGTTAGCCATGTAGAAAGTACCTACCACTTCTATTTTTTTGTGGGGGGAAGGTTAAGAGAAGGGAAACACCTGATATTTATTCAGCATATGTTTGTACTAGACACTATGCCATGACCTTTATGTGCGCTACTATTTAACCTCAGCCCAATCCTATTAAGTAATATAATCATCGTTAGCCTGTTGATATACTGAAACTCAACAAACCTGTGACACTTGCCTAAGGTAAATGGCAGATCAATGATTCAAAACCCCGTTTGGCTGACTTCTCGACATGAATTTTTCCAAGGATATCTATCATGTACCATGCTGTTATTCAACAAGAATGTGCCTGGTAATCATGATGTGATTCTAATGTCTTTTAACCGACAGTATCGCCCAGGGGAATACCTTGGGTTCTTCTTGAGGTTTGCCCACACATAGAGGGTAATGTTTTCATCTTGAATGACTTTTTCCATATTTCCAGTGTCCAGATCTGCCAAAGTACTAGCTTGCTATAAGAGAAAAAGAAAATACTATAAAAGATCAGAGGCCTTATAAATTATACAATTTAAATAAGTTAGGGTGTTGGATTCAACACTACTTTTAGTGTTTAGTAACACTAAAAAAGTTACTTGGGTAAACATAAGGTTCAATCAAAACGACAAAGAATTGCTTAAAAATTCTCAAAATTACACAAGTATATTTACTTAATTAAATGTGCTCCCCCTTTTCCACTTGATTTCTCTAAGGACTGAATTTGCTCCTGTATATTCAGGTACCATCTATTATAATTAACCTTTTCAATTTTAACATTATCATAACTTTTCATTTTAATTATACACAGACTTCTTTATCTTTATTAAGACATAGATTATTATACTGCAAAAATTTGCCTATTTCTGAACATATCAAGGTTAGAAAACAAAATATCCAGTATACAAAATCCAGATGAGTTGTGCATTTAGTCCAGTACTTGGTATATAACATTAAACATACAATTAAAGATGTTCTTAAAAAATGTTAAGTAAAAATTAACATAGCTTGATGCCTATTGCTCAAGAAATAGGCACTCTTAATGGGCTTAAGTAAGTTAATATGTATTTGGTGGCTATAATGTAAAAACTTAGAAGGACTGGAGATTGACTTATTGCTTTTTTTTTTTTTTAAAGTAACTGTCCCAGCTCCTACTTCTTTTTTTCTGTGAAATTAACTTTCTGAAGTATCCAGGATAGTTTCTCTGTATAATTGTTCCACATTGTGGATTTATCTAATTGTTTCCTCATTGTATCATTTGACCTTTTCCTCTGTCTCCTTATTCTTCATGTAATGGGTCTAGGTAGGTTTAATTAGACTCAGGCAAATCATTTTTAGTAAAAAAGGCATCATAGGTTTTGTTGTGTTCTTATATTACAAGCCTTCAGGAGGTGTATTTGGTCCCACTATTAATTATGTGGATTTCACCACCCAGTTAAGGTGGTGAAGTCACCCACAGCTCCATATTTCAAAGCACGTTTTTCCCCAATCAGTAAGTAATCTGTAAGGAATCAGTAATTCTTTGGCACTTTTCACCTAATTATTTAGGTAGCCGTTGATGATCCTTATCATTTATTATATTAGGGATTGAAATATGGTCATTCTTATAACTGCCCATTCCTCCTGCATTTATTTATTATATAGCATTCTTCCGTAATTCTCCCCACTCCCCACACCACCTTCCTCCTTCCTTTTTGGAGTCTCACTATAGACTCACGGATTTTTATTTATTCAGTGTGCTATAATCAATTATAGTCATTATCCTTTCTGATAGCCACATGGCCCCAAATCTGACTAGTGGGAGACTCTTCAAGGGAGTCCTGTCCCTTTGGATGTGGCTCCATTAGACCTGGGCATTCATGTGCTTTCTAGCACAGAAAGACTCAACCTCCTCGTTCAATAACAACCTCACCTTTCACTTTCCCTTCCCCAGACCCAGAATCAGCCCTTTACTCCAATTACACCTGGCTTCTTTTTCATGGAATAAAAAGAAATATAGTTCATACTGATATTTCCATTTTAAATATAATGTTACAGCATGTTTAGTCTTTTATTTTACTATATTTTTATCTTACGATAAAAATCTTTATTAATAATTATAACATATTCCCTTACTTGCTTTATCTTACAACATAAAATAGTTGTAGAACCATAATATATTTTTGGTAACAATAAACTTAGTGATGTTTAAGCCTTCTTTGCATTTCTTTTAGTAATTACAACACATTCTCCCAAGGCTATACCAAGGTGAGGACTGTTGTCTAGACCAAAAAATGAGACAGAATAGCCAAATGTAATGTGTGACCTTAGATTGTCTTCTGATTAAAAAATAAATAAAACAAAACCAGTTACAGAGGATATTCATAAAATATTAGGGAAAACTGAAATATGGGCTGTATATTAGAATGTTATAGAAATAATATAGAATACATTATATACTATTTAGAATATTAGAATATTCTAAATATATTTAGAATATAGTATTATATTCTAAATAATATATAGAATATACTGTTTCTATATTTATATAATTAATAAAATACTTTTTGAAAGACAAATACTATATGATCTCACCTTTAACAGGAACCTAATCAACAAAACAAACAAGCAAAATATAACCAAAGACACTGAAATTGAGAACAGGCTGACAGTGACCAGAGGGGAGAGGGGAGGGAATTTCAGGGGAAAAGGGGAACAGTTTGCAGGAACAAGTATAAAGGACACAGAGACAATAACGAGGGAGGCATGGAAATGGGAGGGAGGTGGGGAGGGCTGGGTGGATGAGCTGGGATGGGGGTAAAAGGCAGAAAACTGCACTTGAACAACAATTAAAATAAATAAATAAATAAATACATGAATAAATAACTATTCTTGGTTTGGGGAACATGTTTCTAATCCTCTGCATGTTCAAACAAAAATAGAGGCAGTTATTTATAATCTTTAAAATAGAGATTTAACCATGTTAAAAGTTACTTTTTTATTAATTCTCTTAGGTATAATAATGGTTTCACGGTTACTTGAATATGATCATTAGTGCTAAGATATTTGAAAAAATAGAGTGACTACAATAATTGTAATTCTGTATCAACTAATGTATCTAAAATGAATATCTAATTAATAAGGTTTTGTGAATTTATTTTCATAGCGATCCTGGGGAACCTTGGCAAGTATAATAAAGAAAACTAGATTTTAGCTCTATTGATGTTTTATTTCTTTAAAAATATTTACAGCTCTTAAGTAAGGATAGATAGATGTACCTTAAATTATGCCACTTTTTTGTAACCTTTTACTTTTTGAAAAATAATACCGAATTTTTAAAATTATACAGCATAAAATTGTAATGCCCATAAAAGTTAATAATAACACATAAGCAAAGTATCACACTTACTCGGAGCAGTACTTCTGTGGCTGTGTTAAACTTCAGGTGAAGGAGCTCCTGCAGCTCCAGAATTGACCCCCGGTACTGTGCTATATTTTTATCTTGCAAATCATAGGGTGGGGTTTCCAATAAAATTAGTTTCAACTTACTAATTAACTATAAAGCAAAAGTACAAAATAAACATATAAAGTAAAAATTTACTCTAAAAGCAAATCAAATCTGACCAATAAGAAAAGAAAACGTGAAAAGGGGATATTCTAACGTTTTTGAGGAAAAATAAAACACATCTTATTGTCAGAAAAATAAATAAATACCAAGAAGGATTTTTATATTATTTAAGACCCTGGAAAAAGACTATTTCCTCCCAAAATTCCATTATAAAAATTCTCAGCCATGTGTAACAGGGCTTTCATTACCTAAGAATATGGAGCAATAGAAACGATAACAATATCAGAACAGTGAAAAGGAGAAAGTAAAATTACTAATATTTACTGAACAGTTACTATGTGCTAGAAGCCATTCTGAATGCTTCATATATTTTAATTCATTCAATCCTCATCGTACCTCTATGAGGTGGATACCGTCACGGTGCCTATTTTATAGGTGAGTAAACTTGGGAACATCTGGTTTCACCTCTAAGAATCTTGGAAGACGCCATTCTGTTCTAACAAGTAAAAAGGTAGGCAGACTGCAAAGTCAGGGACTCTTCTTTGACCAGTACGTGCGGGACAGAGAGACCTACAGGTGGACCCAGGGAGTCCTGGCCTACCAGGACAAACTCAGGAGCAGAAGCCACTGCAGGAACCAGTGCCTGGCGGGACACCTGAGCTGTAAATAATAAATTGCTGGAAGCTTGGTGTGGACACTTCTGAGAGTTAAAGAAACTCCAGGAGGACACAGCCATGGCAGCAGGAGGGCCCTCAGTATTGTGACATTCACCTGCAGTGTCTCGACAAGGTTCACACACTAAACGTGGAAGAAAAATCCTCTCATGCTTCCGGCAGTGGAAGGGGAAAGGGAACCATTCTGAGATACGCCCGAGCATTCTGTTCTTAGTAAGGCCTGATCTCGGGAAACTAATTAAGAGTCTAACCTGCTGGAGTTTTATCAGAGCCTGATTCACCTGGGGGAAGGAAATATCCAACTCCAGCTGGCTCTCGTCACCCCCTCCCACTGAAGAGAGGATGAGGAAATTAAAAACACCTGTGAAAATCATCCCCCCCCCGGCCCCGCCCCCGGGGCAAAGGATTACTAAAACACTGAGACCTAATCACAGGACTACATGGGGTCCAGCAGAAGCAACGCCTGCTCAAGTGTGGTTGGCAGGGTAATAATGGGGGTGTAATCATTTATACTTTTAATTGAACATTTCACCTAAAATGCCATAGGGTGTGCTCAACTGTGATATTGTTATGTTACAGAATTACATGCTTATGATTTTGGAATAAAAGATTCTGTACTAAAAAAGGGGCGTTATTTGAGTCAGGCCCTGCAGATCTCCTCCCCTGCCCCTCACCAGCACATAACTAAAGGCCTATTTACAGCAACTCCTTTTACTCAGGACATTCCATCCGGCCGTCAAGAAAAGACCACCAGGATTACCACCAGGAATATAAAAAAAACAAAATGAAACAAAAAACCCACCACGATTTGAAGAGACATGGCATGGATGTTAGATTAATCAAACTGGAAATTTTTTAAATAACTACAATTAATATTCTAAGGGTCCTAATGGACAGCATGCAAGGACAGATGGCTAACATAAGGGGAGAGATGGAAATCCTAAGAAAGAACCAAAAAGAAATGCTAGAGATAAAAATCAGTGTGACAGAAATGAAGAATGCCTTTGAAGGGCTCCTTAGTACACTGCACTCAGCTGAAGAAAAATGCTGAGTTAGAAGGACATGTCAATAGAATCCCAGGAAACCAACAAGCAAAGGGAGTGAAGACTGAAACGAAAACAGAATGGACTATCCAAGGACTTTGGGACAATGACTAAGGTCACCCCCACATGATGGGGATGCTAGAAGGAGAAAAAAGACAGAAAGGAACAGAAGAAATATTGCATATAATGACTAAGAATTTCACCAAATTAATATCAGAGGCCTAACCACAGATCCACAAAGCTCAGAGAACACCAAGGAGGATAAATGCTCCCCCAACCAAATAAAAAACAAAAACAAAAACAAAAACAAAAAAACTACACTTAGGCATATCATTTTCAAAGTGTAGAAAATCAAAGATAAATTTAAAAATCCTGATGAAAGCCAGAGGGGAAAAATAAAACACCACACCTTTAAAGGAACAAAGAATCACATCCAACAGCTCAGAAACCATGCGAGCAAGAGAAGAATGGAGAGATCATTAAAATGTTGGGAGAAACTGAGGCACGGCATGATCAAGGAACAGCTAGTAAGTGGCAGAATTTAGGGTGGGACACTGACACGGATAATAAACAGAAAGTTTCTGAATTAAGAGAGGCAGCACGGTAATGGGGGACAGTATGGACTCAAGCCAGATGCTGGGCTTCATTCCAGCCACCTCTTACTATCAGTGTGACCCTGGGCAAGTTACTTACTATCTGTGCCTCGACTTCCTCATCTGTAAAATGGAGATAATGGTGCCTAACTCACAGGGTTATTGTGAAAATTCAGCAAGTTACTCTTGTATTTCTAAAGCCTGGCATAGTAAGCATTATCTAAGAGTTTGTCAAATAAATGAACTTGATAATCTAGGATTTGATGTTTACCAGGGGGTCACTGCTATCCAATTATTTCTGTTCCTCTTGTGGCTTCCTGATTTAGTTTCCTATTGCTGTGATTCCTCTCCTCTTCCCTACTATTTATTACTCGTAATTCTTTACACCATATTCATTCATAACAGGAAGATGCCACTTTGCACTCACCCCTGATGAGCTCCAGTGCGTCCTTCCCCTGCCTCCCAGCTAACAGCAGAGCACCAGACTCCTGGACCAGCACCATGCTAGGGCAGCCTCCCCAGTCAAGGGCATGTGCAATGGCAAGACACCCTATGATGAATCCACGGGTGTGCAATACCTCACAGTGTGTGGGAGGCTCTCTGGAGTCTCTGGAAAGTCAGAGCAAGCCCCATCTAAGGTCTCATAGGGGACTCTAAGCAGGTTGCAATCTTCATATGTAAAAAAGGTAGTCCTTCATATGTAAAAAAATCTCATCAGCATGTTGTCCAGATTAAAATAGGCAATGCTTGTTATGTGTTTGCAAGAGTCCGGAATTATTCCACTGCACAGCAACATGGAGGAGAGTTAAACCACAGTGACAAGAGGCACAAAAAGTATCGAGAGGACTTAGAACACAGGTGGCAAACACAAGTCCCACAGACCAAATCCGGCCTTCCACCTTGCTTCTACCCAGTGGCAATACCGAGCTCTCGCTTAACTGTTAAGAAGTAGTTACATTTATACAGTCCTAAAATTACATTTGGCCCTTTGAAGGCAACCATGAAGCTGATGTGGCCCCCAGTGAAGATGAGTTTGACACCCCCAAATTACAACAAAAAGCATAAAGGAGCACTTCCAGTCAAGATGGTGGCATAGGCAGACATGGCTGGCCTGCTTGTACAACCACATCAAAATTACAACTGAAATATAGAACAACTATCACTGAGAACCAACAGAAATCGAGCTGAATGGAAGTCTGACAACTACAGAATTAAAGAAACTACATCCAGACTGGTAGGAGATGGAGAGACATGGAACAGGCTGGTCCCTCACCCATGTGTGATGGATAAAAATTCGAGAGGGACATTCCAGGAGTGAGAAGTCCCAGCCCCACACCACAGCCCCCAGCCCAGGAAGATAAGTACCTCCAACTTCTGACTGTGAAAACCAGCAGGGGTTGAGTTGGTGGAAGAATCTTCTAGAGCCCCAAGCAGTACCTCTTAAAGAACCCTCACACAGACTCACCTACTCAAACTCACTCCCTTTGAGCCCCAATACTGAGGTAGCAGTATGAAAGGCACCAGTGGCATATGGGAAGAAACTGAGGTTTCTAGCATCAAGGTGAGCAGAGACAATTGTCCCTTGTCTGAACCCTGCACCCACAGTTGACAGCCCACAGTGCCATATCTGAGATTCCATCAACCCAGCTAATACTGTTTGCCCTGCCTTCGTGATCCTCAGAGACTCCACCCCGCCCAACTTATGGGCCTACCCACACTGCTTTTCCATAGGAATAGCTGGACTTGGCTCATGCTTCATAACTTGCTAAATCATATAAAATAAGCAACAGCTGGCCTCAGTGAGACCCTCGCCCAGCAAGCAGCAGCCAGCAGAGATTCACAGGTTGGCTTCTTCTGAAAATCTTCATACCCAGCACAATTAACAGCTATCTCAGATCGCTTTATAGCTTAGGCAGCATGGCCCTGGGCAAAACAAAAGCAGGGGCTGACTTTGTTCTGTACCACCTAGAAAACCCCAGGGCCAGCACACCCAGTGGACCATGTGGAACACCACTGTCCTGTACCTGTACAGCTGATCTTCCACGGAGGATGGAAGTTGGTGGTGGGTGGTCACAGCCAGTCCCTGCAGCTGACTGGCTAAATCCCTCCCATTGACCTGTCAACAGCAATCAAGGCTCAACTACAGGAGGAGGGTATACCCTAAACACCCAGCTTGGGTGACAGGGGAGGCTGTGCCACTGGACCCTATAGAAAACTTATTACATTAGGCCACACTACCAAGACATGGGGTGAAAGCAACTCTACCTAATACACGGAAGCAACACTAGGAGGCTGACAAAATGAGGAGACAAAGAAACATGGCCCAAATGAAAGAACAGATCAAAATTCAAGAAAAAGAGCTAAACAAAATGGAGATAAGCTATCTAACAGATGCAGAGTTCAAAACACTGGTTATAAGGATGCTCAAGGAACTTGGTGAGGACCTCAACAGCATAAAAAAGATCTAGTCAGAAACTAAGGATATACTAATTGAAGTAAAGAACAATTGACAGGGAGACAACAGTAGCTGAAAATCAAATCAATAATTTGGAACATAAGGAAGCAAAAAGCAACCAATTAGAACAACAAGTAGAAAAAAGAATTTTAAAAAAACCTCAAGAATAGTATAAGCAGCCTCTGGGAAAACTTCAAGTGGTCTAATATTCATATCATGGGGTGCTGGAAGGAGGAGATAAACAACAAGAAATTGGAAATCTACTGAAAAAATAATGAAAGAAATCTACCATAATTTGGTGAAGGAAATAGACATGTAAGTCCAGGAAGTACAGAGAGTCCCAAACAAGATGTATGCAAAGAGCCCACTCCAAGACACATCATAGTTAAAGTGCCGAAGTTTAAAGATAAAGAGAGAATCTTAAAAGCAGCAAGAGAAAAGCAGTTAGTTACCTACAGGGAAGTTTCCATAAGACTGTCAGCTGATTTCTCAAAAGAAACTTTGCAGACTAGAAGGGCAAGAAATATTGGCAAGAAATATTCAAAATCATGAAAAGCAGGGACCTACAGCCATGATTTCTAGACCCAGCAAAGCTATCATTTAGAATCAAAAGGCAGATGAAAAGCTTTCCAGACAAGAAAAAACTAAAGGAGTTCATCATCATCACCAAATCATTATTTATTATAGGAAATGTTAAAGGGACTTCTTGAAAAAGAAGATCAAAACTATTAATAACAAAATGGCAAGAAATTCAAATCTATCAACAATTGAAACTAAAAAACAAACTAAGCAAAGAAAAACAGAAACAGAATCATGGATACAGAAGGTGTTTTGATTATTGCCAGATGAGAGGAGTAGTTGGGGAATGGGTGAACAGGTGAGGGGATTAAGAAGTCCCAATAGGTAGTCACAGAATAGATATGGGGATGTAAAGTACAGCATAGGAAATGGAGTAGCCAAAGCACTTACATGCATGACCCATGGACATGAACAATGGTGGGGGGATTGCCTGAGGGGGGGGGTTGCTGGGTGGAAGTGTGAAAAGGGTCAAAATCAGGATAACTGTGATAGCATAATTAATAAAATATAATTTTTAAAAAGCCTAAAGTATAACAGGATCAAGAAATCCTTTACTTTTACTTTCTAATATTATGTAAGTGTGTCTAAGTGTGGATTTCTTTCTATTTAACCCAAATTGGCATTTTGTTATATTTCTTGAATCAGAGGGTTCACTTCTTTCCTCAATTCTGAAAAACTGCCAGCCATATCTGTTTGACTACTTTCTTTCCCTTATTCTTCTGGCTTATTTCCCTTATTCTTTCCCTTGTTTCCCTTTTCAATCATTTTTTAGTCCTTCTTCCTCTATCATACATATATGTCAACTGCTCTTTCCATCTCTTTATCTCTCTGTGCTGTAATCTGGTAAATTGTCCAATCCACTTAGGATGCACTCCTAATTCAGAATTCTCACTAGAAATGTTATTTTCCTTCTATGAAGCTAAAGATGAGCAAAACAAGTTCGTATCACCTCCCTTTGCAGAGGAGTTTTTTCCCCCTATTAAACACATTACCTTTCTGCGGCTCCCAGCAGTACAGGAGGTCTCTGATCCATTTGTCACCATGCATATAACCTTGGCTTTGCCTCTGATAGCCCTTTAAACCCAAGCTAAGGCACCAGGGGTTAACAGATACTTTCTGGGAAGCCCCTGACTTCTACACCTGCCCACTTTTCTAAACTGTTTTATGACCTCCAAGATTTTCCCTTATTTTCTTTTATACTAGGCAATGGACTTAAATGTCATTTAAAATATTTTCCAGCATTTTTAAGTGTTTGTAAAGTGGTAGTTCCTTAGGCTAGTCTATGCATCCTGTTTGCAGAAACAGAACATAGGATATGCTTATTCATCTTGGTACTTTCACTGCCTGAACGAGTTGGGGCCTGGTACATAGTTAACAATAAATACATGTGTACTGTATCAATGAATAGTGAATGATGCAGCTGAAGATAAAATTACTCACTTTCTCCCTAAGTTATTAACATAAATGGGTGCAACTTAATTTTTTTACTTGAATTAGACACACATACAGTAAATATTTCACATTTATGTTACGTTGACCTCATCTAAGGTATCAAGGGGTTTTTAGGAGTTAAAGAGAAAAGATTAGCAAATATTTTTCTCCATAGCCAAGGGGGCAAATATTAATGGCAAATGCCATATTTTATTTCTATATTTTTGAAATCAATTTGTAATTTAAATAATTTTAAATTATGGAGTAATAAATACTTAGGTACTCACCTGCAGCACTAGTTTACTCTTGGCAATGACTTCCTCAAAAGTCTCATTTGTCTCCTCTTTCCACAAGCTAATGAAAGTATTGATTTCTTGGGCTTCTGAAGGGTCGGGGCTGCCGTCACACTGAATGTAGTGCATCCACTGCAGAAGAAAGACACCTGGAGGTTCACACCGATGAAAATTCAACCGAAGATTAAGTCACTTCTTGTTTAAGTAAGAGTGCTCACAACCTAGTTTTCTCAATTTGGGCAGAAATATATCAGGACCCTAACTAGTTACTTATCTCTAAAGTATCCAAATTACTCTTTGGCAAAATAATTTGTAAGCCTCAATAATTCAAATAAATACAAAGTTTTGTCATATTTTAATTTTTCATACCATGTATCAGTTGGTTTTATTTTGCTTTCCTTTCTTATCATATAGCTTCTGTATTTACAAAAGACAACAGTTGGACTAATTTCTACGAATCAAATCATTACTAACTGTTAATCCACAATAGCATTTTAGTAGGAGCCTTTCCATTCCTTTTTAGTCTATGCAAATTCTACATTTGTAATCATACTGCACTTATAATTTTTTTGCTTAACATTATACCATAATCATCTCTCATCTTATTATTACATTTTTTCCTTTTTCTCCTGATAATCACCAATGTTGTTTTTAAAGCTAGATTGCCTTAAACCCAACATTTTAATATTTTAATTTAGGACTATTTCCTCAGTGAAGATTCCAAAAATTAATTGAGTTAAAGGATATAAATATTTCAAGGATCTTATTACTGACAAATAGTTCGGTGCAAAGCTAGGTGAATTTATTTTGCTACAACAACTCTGTCAGATCAGAGATTTCTTATAGACAAATTTGAAGTTTCTTGGAACTAAAAAGGATATCAGACTACAACTCCCTCTTGTGGTACAAAAGTACTGGCTCAAAAAGAAAAAGAAAACATTCAGCCTTACCTGAGAAAGCAGTCTATTATCTCGTTTCAGTTTCTCTGCTTCAGGAAAGCACCTCTCTAACAAAAATAGTTCCTCAAGTTCTTCACTTTTTCTTTCTAGATCCTGTTGCATGAAGATACATTAAATCTGTCCTTTAATTTCAGCTTTTGTTTCATAGTAGCATCAAAATTTTACTTGGCAAAGTGTTTCGTTTCAGAATGAACACTAAAGTTCATTTGAATGTATCTGATATTTCTAAAAGGTTGCCTCTGAGACAGTGGTTTGCAAAGTGTGGTCTGCACACTCATGGTGTATCCGCCAAGGCCTTTTGGGATCTGTGAGGTTAGCCCTATTTTCACAATAGTGCTAAGACTCTGTCTTTTTCACTGTGCACACATTTGCTTTGATAGTGCGAGCTGGTGTAAAACCATGGAGATAGCACGAATCAAGGCACAAACTGTACTCATGGTCTCATTCTTCAGGGGCAGAAGTCGTGAACAGCCAGTTTCACATAAGAATGACCTGATGAACCAGTAAAAAATATTCATTTCATAACAAGTCAAGCTTTGAGGGTCTGTCTTTGTAATATCCTGTGTGATAAAATGGGAAGTATGCATAGAGCATGTCTGCTGCCTAGCAACAGACAACACTGTCTTGTGCAATTATTTGAGTACGTTGGCAGATATTCTCTCAAAAATGAATGAATTGAGCATGTCACTTCCAGGAAACAATTTAAAGTATTTGTTGCTGATGATAAAATCCAAGCTTTAAAATAATTTTCAAATTTTAGAAAACTTTTATCTATCAATGTGAGCTTGAGAATTTCCCAATCCTTAAGGACTTTTCTGATTTGATTGTAGATAGTAATGCTTATGATTTTTTGATAATGAATAATAAAAATGTGTCAATATTTGGGAGCAAATAACTCAGTGAACCAAAATTTCCAAGCAACCAATACAGGATACTGCAAAATCATGCATGGAAACAAGACCTATTCAGTGTGTAAGATAGGTCAAGGTTTTAGTGTAATAGAGTATGAAAAGTTCATTGCAATGGTTTCAGATGCTGCATTAAGAAACTACCACTTCTTTATTTTTGGTACAGTAATAAAAAATACCCACAATTATCTGAAAGGTTAATAAAATACTCCTCCTTTTTCTAGCTACATATCTGTGTGAGGCCAGATTTTCTTCATACACTCCAATCAAAAATACATATCATAATGGAATAATGAAGTGGACATAAGAATCCAATTGTCTTCTGTTCAGTCAGACATCAAAGGGATTTTAAAAATATAAGCAATGTCACTCCCCTAATTTAAAAATATATAATGTGTACTGATGGATGTTAACTAGACTTACTCTGGTGATCATTTCACAATATATACAAATACTAAATCATTATGTTGCACACCTGAAACTAATATGCTATATGTCAATCATAGCTAAATAATATACATTACATATATATAATTATATATATACCTATTTTCTTTAAAATATGTGAATCCTATTTACTTATATTAATGTTCATATTTAACAATGTTTAAGTCTATTAATATATTTTTTGATTTCTCAGTTTTAATTTCTACTATGTAAATATTAATAGATGTACCCACATAAACAAAAGATCCTTGGTGAGGGTTTTCAATTTTTAAGAACAATGAGGTTTTTTTTTCCTGAAATCAAAATATTTCACAACTACTGATTTGAAAAATTCTGGTGAAAAATAGAAGTGAAACCAAAAAAGGAGACATAGAACTTAAATATTTTTTTCCTTTTGGTCCTTGTTTAATTCTCTACAAAACAGATTGAGAATAATAAGTTAATGTTTACAAGCATGGGATCCAATGCAAAATTACTTCTGTCTAGGTCCTGGCTCTGACCTAGCTTGATTTCTCTATTCCTCAATTTCCTTATCTGTGAAATGTGGATGACAATGTCATTAATTTTACAGTAGGATTAAATGAGTTAAGCCAGTTCATACAGGCCTAACTATTATTGGTAGCTTCTGGAGGAGAATGATATTAAATAGCACAACACATCCAATAGTCATATAATTTGCCTTCATTGATAACATCATTAATGTTTACTTACCTTTACTTCCAGTTTTTGCCATTTTTCTTTCTCAATTCGTTCCATTTCAAGCCTTTCCATTTCTTCTTTTTCATGTTTCACACGGGCTTCCTCTAAAGGACAAAAAAAATTTTTTTCACAGTGATAAAAATCAATCTATTTTTAAAGCCTAAAAGTTAATTCAAATATTTGAAAGATGTAGTGATGGTGATATATTTTATAGAAGTCACAACCTTTATTATGTACTAAAACTAAGACAAATGCTAGATTTCTTCAAAAATGTAACATGACTAAATTTTCTGGCTAAAAAGAATAGGCTCATAATGATATCTTTCTTCTCTCAAAAGTTTATAATGATCCAATAATGACTTTAGCCAATAAAAAAATGACACATCTATTGGGGGTAAGTAAGAAAGGTCACATCTTCATAAGATTTCCATAACCTTACTATATGCACATCATCAAAGCAGTAACCTTAAATTTCTCTTGCTTTCACTGTGAAAAATAGGATACATATGCTGAAGAATCTGAGTTTAAATCAATTACCATAAAACATTTCCCAAGACCTACATCCTGATGTTTTATTCTTATCATGAGTCATCTAAAAAGGATTTATATGATTATACATAAAAAATCAGCATGAAACCTGAAAAACCGATTTTTAAAACCTGAATTTTATCCACAGATGTTCTTAATGTTAAAAGCTACAACCACTTGAAACATTCAGATTTTTAAAATAAATTTTGGTGTTTTTAATAATAATAGTTTTAATAGTTTTAATTGATATTTTAACAAGTGACAGTACTCTTTACATTTGGCAAATAAAATTAGGAAATTATAAAAATCTAAGCCACTGTATGTTTTCTTGCTAGTGTGTACTTCCCTTATTTAATGAACTTGAATTTCAGAGTTCTCCCTGTATGGTCAGCGCCAATGCCCCTATTTCATTATTAGTGAGTGTGACCACTTCAAGCAGGACTGCCGGAATTAATATCGAAATAAAGGATGCTCAGTTGAATTCGAATTTGAGATCAATAATAAACTTTTTTTTGGTTTAAGTATGTCCCAAATATTGCATGGGGCAAATTATGCCCTATAACTTATGGATAACTTACCCATTGTTTATCTGAAATTCAAATTTAACTGGGCATCCCATATTTTATCTGGCAACTCTCCTTTGAAATGCATCTGAAAGTGATTTGTGTGCACTATCACCTTTGTGGGTGCCCTTTACATAGTAGGAACCTATCATAAAAAATTGAATTTGAAAAATTAAAGAATTTTGAAAAGTCTTTGCAAATATACTGACTGGATTACAGAAATACCAACCTGTGGTCGGCATCACCTGCATGTAAAAATAGCATCACTGTGTTCTGTACCTTCCTCTTTTTGGCGTCTCTCCTCCTCCTCTTGTAGCAGCTTCAAGTATTCCGCTTTGGTGTTTTTCTTTTTCTTATTGCCAGGCTGAACAAAGGCAACAGCATATGTTAATAAAAGGCTACTAACCCAAGTACCTTAAAAACAGATATCCCTCAAATAATAATTATGAAAAATATTTCCATAAATCCTGTTTTTCACTCATTCAAATAAGACCACCCATTACGTGCAAAGCCTTGACTCAGTGCCTTAAGGGCAACATATGAAACCAAATAACAAAAATAAGCATAGAAATCATTCGATGCCAAGAGTAATAGTGACAAGCATAAACGATTTAAGTGGCCCTCTCTTCCCCAGTTTTCATATCTTTAAAATGATGTTAAATGGAACCTGATTTCATTGTTGTAAGGATTAAAAGAAAATATGTGTAAAAACAGTTTTAATACTGCAATATGTCAATAAATATTAAAGACATTTTTATGACTAGCAGATAGAGAATTATTTTGCAAGTTTGGAGGAAGGAGAGATTATTTTCAACAGCTGGGATCCAGTAAAATTGTATGGAGTATGTATAGTACTTAAGTATGTGCCCCCAAAAGTTTAACATTCAGATATGAGGGGAAAATATCCCCAAAGTGGGAAACACGGGCATCAGATACAGAGTTCAGAGAGCCCTGGAGAGGCCAACAAGTTCTGTGGGACCTGGAAGACTCCAAGAAGAGGTGATGTGCAGATGAGAAAGACAACTGGAGCCTAGGCTATAGAGTTTGGACATTATACTAAAAGAAACCCCCTACATGTTTTCAAGAAGGGCTATGGCTTAAGAATATAATTTTGAAAACTAACCTGGTTTTAGGGAAAAAATGATTGTAAAGAAGATACCATTTTGGTCCCTATTAACAGTAGTTAATCGTGACCCAAAATGCAGACAGGAGATTGGATCCAATAATCGGATAATGATTAAATTAGAGGCAAGAGAGGAAGGAGACAAAGAAGATTTAGAAAGAAAGAAAGAAAGAAAGAAAGAAAGAAAGAAAGAAAGAAAGAAAGAAAGAAAGAAAGAAAGAAAGAAAGAAAGAAAGAAAGAAAGAAAGAAAGAGGAATGATGGATGGATGGAAGGAAGGAAGGAAGGAAGGAAGGAAGGAAGGAAGGAAGGAAGGAAGGAAGGAAGGAAGGAAGGAAGGAAGGAAAGAAGGAAGAAAGGAAAGAAGGAAAGGGAAGGGAAGGCAAGGCACAGAAAGAATGGTAGTCCAGAGCAAGTCAATTTGTAAGAGAAAGTATTTAAAGAGGTTTAAATACAATTAGTATGAAGTGCTAGAGCATCCAGGAAATGCTGCAGGCATTAAAATTAGAAAACTGAGATGAGACCTGCAGGGCACAGATCTGAGAACCATCTTGGTGATAACCACCTCCCCTCCATTTTCCCGAAGGGAAGATTACAATGAATAGAAGACAATCATCTAAACTGAGGAATCAAGAGTGATTGATCCTCGGGATACATGCTCTTGGATGACCATCTTCAAGTTTGGGCTCACTTACTGCAGGGTGGTCCATCGGAATCTCCATTCCATTAGCCCTACCAGTTTTCCACTGTTCATCAACCCTTCTCATCCCACACTTCTTTTCCTACTCAGATAAATTTCACAGTTGGTTCATCACCATTATCACCAACATACATCTCCACCTCTCCTATTTTCCTCTCCTTCTGAGAAGCTCAGCTGGTGAATTCCTACCTCTAGTTAAATTCAACTCCCCATTAATCTGTGCTAGCAATATGAGCAGCTGAACCCTGCCAGAAAAAAAAACACATGAGTTCAAATTTATGAGCACAAGTTTTAATAGTCTTTAAACACCATGCAGTATTCTTACTACTATTTCATTGTCCTCACTATTCAAACTTCCAAAATCCCCTGCTCTTTCCTATTCTCAGCTGTTGCCCTTGCCTTGTATATTACTAGAACATTTGAGAAGAAAACAATCTCCTTACACAGCAAATCTTGGAACCCCCCTGTATCTTTGTCTGCCTTCCTTCCCTTTACGGGGGGTGAACTGTGTGGGCTTGGTGCTTGTAACTAACAAGTTCAGTTACCCACGAAGTTCTCTCTCCCCAGACTTCACATCCTCTCCATCACTGCTCCAATTCTGTTACCCTTCATGTCAAACCACCTGAAAGGAGTTGGCCCTGCCTTCATTTCCCCATTTTCTGTGTGGCCCGCACAGGCTTTTATTTCTCTTGCTCCATTAAAACCTCTCTCGTTAAAGACCTTTGCAGATGGCTGTTTCCAATGGCAACGGTCAGTTTTCAGCCTTCATTTTACTCATCTGCCATCGTCCTTTTACAAAGTTTTCTTCCCCCTTGAAGTACTTCCTTCATTTGGTCTTTGGTTAGTACTGACTTAGCCACTTGTCCCACAGGTCTCTCCTTCTCAGACTTCTTTTCTGGTGCCTCTTCCTCAGCTGTAGCTGACCAGTAAATTTTGAAAATATTTGTTTACATATTCCCTAAAATAATTTTGGAAAACTATATACCCCTTCACACATTTTTATGTTGGCATTGAAAACTTTTCATCACAAGCATAATGGCTGCAAATGTTTCCAATACATGACATAAAATAATTCTGGTATATCACTCTTTTCAATGTATCAATCACTGCCTAAAATATATCCAGTGGAATCACTGCCTAAAATATACACAAATATATCCTATATACCATGGGATTTGATGGCTAATATCATTAGTTTTAAAAATATGAGCAATATTTTCTTTAGTAAAAAGTTTAATCCTTTTTTCTCCTTAAACTGGTATTCCCACTCCACTTCCCCCACAGAAATCTTATCCTAATGTAACGTACTTGAAAACTTTTGTTGATCCTCCTATTATATTTATCTCCTACCAAAAAGGTATAAAATTTTAAATTTTATTCCCGTGTCAGAACATTTTCATCACCACATAAAAGAAACCACATATCTATTAGCAGTCGCCCTGCCATATTTACTCCCGACTCCGGCTCTAGGAAGCCGCTCATCCGCTTTCTCTGTAAATTTGCCTATTCTGGACATTTCATATAACTGGAATCAGCCAATGTGTGTTCTTTAGTGACTGGCCTCTTCCACTTAGCATAATATTTTCAGCATCAATACTTACATTTTATGGCTAAAAAAATATTCCATTGTATGGATATACTACATATTCTTTTTGTCTTTCTCTCTCTTCCTTCCTTTTTTTTTCTTTCTTCCTTCCTCCGTCCCTCCGTCCCTCCCTCTTTCTTTTGAGACACAAACAGAGAGAAAAGTATCTATTTGTTGTTCCAGTTACTGATGCATTCATTGGTTTGATTCTTGTATGTGCCCTGACTGGGGATCCAATCTGCAACCTTGGCACAGCAGGATAACACTCTACTTGAGCTACCTAGCCAGGGCTTTCATTTTATGTATGTATGTATGTATGTATGTATGTATGTATGTATGTATGTATGTAAGAGACATTTTCTTTATTCATCAACTAATGGACATTTTAGGTTGCTTGTTGCCATGTATCTTAGTTTATTTTTAAATCCACATTTATTATTATGATTATTGTTTTATACCTTGTATGTATAATCTGTTTTGTAGGTGGGTAACTCAAGTTTTGCCCAAAAAAATGTTATTTCACTTTTATTCTTGGAAACTATTTGAGCTGCTACAGAATTCTAAATTGGCCGTTATTTACTTTCAGTACACTGGAGACATCATTCCACTGTACTGGCTTCCACTGTTGCTGTTAAGACCAAAGTTCAAGTTTTGCCAGTTCTATAAATGACCTCATGATAAACCCAGTGATTCTGTTCTTCAGTTCCTGTCTTTATACAGGTTTTCTCCTGATTATTTCTTACTATCTCATCAGCTCTTAAATGCTTTTAAGATGATCATTTTGATTGATATTTATATTTGGGTCAGCATTATTTGTTTTCAGCATAAAAGTTGATTCACAAATCTTTTAAGCCCAATATTATTGGAAATTAAATAAAGATTTTTGATAAAATTATTTTTCTTAACACTTGCTTTAATTTTAAATTGATAAAGACTTTAAAGCTGCAGATTTTGCTCAAAGTATAAAAATGTCTACAATTTACCTTATTAACAAAGTCCAGCTTTCAAAATTAAGCCAACTGGCCCTATCGCAGTTACAGAAGACAGTTTGACTTCATTTTTGGCACAAATAAATGTGTTTACAAGCTACCTCAATATTTATGATGAGCCAGATATAAGTTGATTCCATTTATTTACATATGGTTTTAAGAAGATGTGATTTTAATGACCTGGACTTAACACCATTTATGTTTTAAGGGTCAATATGGAATGTTCCATAGAAACCAGAACTCGAATTTTAGGCAACTAAAGCCTGTTTGTGAATATAGTATTTCTAAATTAAAATAAGATTTAAAACATAGCTATGAGCAATAGGCCCCCATTTTGCCCATTCTTTACAGTTCCATGCCTGGATGTACTTGGTTACCATTCTGAAAATATTAAATAAAATCAATTCACATAAAAATATATGATCCTGGCCAGGCTGGTGGTCAGTTGGTTGAAGTGTTGTCCTATACACCAAAACATTGTGGGTTCAATTCCAAGGCCGGGCACATGCTTAGGTTGTGGGTTCCATCCCCAGTCAGAGCACATACAAGAGGTAACCAATCCACGTTCTCTCTCACATCTATGTCTCTCTCTCTCCCTCTCTCTCTCTCTCACCCTCTCTCTCTGATCAATAAACATATCCTCAGGTGAGAATGAAAAAAATATATATATAATATATAAATAAATAAATATATATATATATACTAAGTTCTGTAAAGTTTCTTCACAAGTTGTATTTCTAAAAAAGAATTCAAATATCAAAATTTCTTTAATAAATTAACTGGGAATAACTTAATTGGAATAATCTATGTATTCATCAATCTGTAAGGGAATTTTCCCCTACAACCTTATTAATGTCTTCTGCTATTTCATATCTTCTATGAAGTGCAGTAGTTTTGGGGGAGAAAACATATTGATTTAAATGCACTGGTGGACCTTTCAACATTGCGCCTGGTATTCTAACCTTTTCTGTAGTCCTAGACAATTTCCTAGCTTTTTCAATGAGTAATACTGATTTAAGTTATATGAAATTTCAAAGACAACTTTAAGGCAATGTAAAAATATTAAACTCATTTATATTTTTACTAATGCTCTTAATCTTTATTAAAATAGTTATTTTGGAGTCTTATTTTTGTCAATAAGTTATATAATGATAGTTTTTGTATCATCATTTAAGAATAATTTCATGGGTGATGTCACTAAACAAAAATTATTACCAGTCCCACCACTCCACACTACAATATATAAGGAATACAGAACACCTCAAAACTCCTAATGCTACATTTTACCACTCACAACAAGACAAAATAAGTCCGTGGTCCAATAATTTAAAAAGGTAATGACATAAGGCAGGACTTCAAGACTTAGATTTTTCTCAGGAAAGGATAAATATGGAAGTTGATGATCTATATACTGATTTCCATAAAGCTACCTGTATTCTTGTATCCTTAGAAAACATCTGTGTACCTCTGAGATCCTTCTTTCCTTCCTTCTAGAAGTTGATTTATTTCATCGTGAAGACTTTGATGTAGTCTGCTGCAATAGCTTCCTAACTGGTCTCCTTCCTACTAGAGTGAATTTTCCATTGACTATTTATTTTTTTTATTTTATGTTTTAATTTTTAAAGAGAGGGTAAGGGTAAAAAAAGAGAGGGAGAGAAATATCAGTGTGAGAGAAAAACACTGATTGCCTCGACTGGGGACCCAGGCATGTCCCCCAAAGGGAACTGAACCAGCAACCTTTGGCTCTGCAGGAGGATGCCCAATCACCTAAGCCACACTGGTCAGGGATGCACTGACCCTTTAAAAATGTAAATCACAGCATATCACTCTTCTGCTTATAACTTTCCCAGACTACCCTTTACCCTCAGAATAAAACTCAAACATTTCACCTTAGTCTTTTTGTCCCTGAACTGGCTCCTGCTCATCTCCCCCACCCACAACTCATGTTTTAGCTTTCACTTTCTGCCTCCCTTGCTCTATTCTGACCACTCTAATTCTCACAAGGTTACTCCCAACTTTGGAACTTTGCAGTAACTGTTTCTTCTGCCTGTAATGGTGATCCCTTAGGTAATCATTGACTTAATCCCTTGTTTCATCTAGGTCTCTTCTCAAATTTTACCTCCTTATCCACCATGTATGAAACAGCATCAACACGATCCCCTACCACGTATTTCTCACTGCAACCTTTCTTGGTTTTCTGGATATTGAAAGCTACCTGAAACTGATTATTTCATCACTTTCCCTCCCCAGAAAGAATGTAAACTTTATGAAATGAAACAACTATCACAAAGAGATATCTGTACCTCCCTGTGCATTGAGACATTATTCAAAATAGCCAAGACTTGGAAAAATGTGTTTACCCATATATGATCAGATAAAAAAAGAAAATACATAATAGAATATTATTGGGCCATTAAAAAGAATAAAATCTTGCTATTTGCAAGAACACGAATGAACCTTGAGGGCATGATGTTGTGTGAAACAAGTCAGAGAAAAGTAAATACTGTGTGATCTCACTTATACGTGGAGTCTAAAAAAAGAGACTCATAAACACAGAGTAAATGTGTGGTTATCAGGGGTGGGAGCTGAAGAAAATGGGCAGATGCTGGTCAAGGGTATAAATTTTAGGTATAAGATGAGTAAGTTCTGGGGATCTAATGAACAGCATGGTGACTATGGTTAACAATACTGCATTGTGTACTTGAAAGCTGCTGAGACAAATCTTCCGTGTTCTCACTACACACATAGGCACAGACACACAGACTCACTTACACACAACAGTAATTATGTGAAGTGACAGATGTGATAACTGACCTTATTTTGGTAATTATTTCATAATATATGCACATGTCAAATCCTCACAAAGATTATTTATGATTTACCCATGATTAAAACAGCATTAATGTCTACAAAGTAAGCTCAGTAAACGCTATAAACTACAATGAAACTAAAAAATGTTTAAAATTCTGTTTGTACAATGTTGGTGTTTATAAAACTATTTCGAGAAAATTTCTACCTACCTTCGTTGTTTTGGGACCCTGAAATTTGGAAAAACAAAAGAACTGATAAATTTTTTTTAATTCAAATATTTTAAACTAAAGTATCCTCATTATATAAGATGTTAAAATTAGAAGTACCTGGGTAAAGAGTATACGGGAAATCTCTACACCAACTTGGCAAGTTTTCTGTAAATCTAAAATTATCTTAAAATAAAAAGTCTTTAAAAAAAAGAACTCAGACTAAACTATAAGCAAGTCTAGGAAAAACTAAAATAAAATATTTTACTCACTGAAGCATCTTTTATAAGTAAATTTTACACTGTTTCTTATGACAATCATTCAATAATTCGTGTTTAATGAAATTCCCTATCACTAAACAGAGTACCAGTCAGAAAGACACTAGTTTAAAGGGCTCCAAAGAACAATAAGTCATTGACTAAGTATTGGTATTAATGTCAAGTTTGAAAGTGGGGGAATCATCTCATAAAAAATTACCTTATGTGAAATTAGATTGCTTATTTTATAGAAAGAGAAGCAATTATTTAAAGCAGGCAAAGCTATGATTAAATGATACTCTTTGGCAGCATGTGAAAATTATTTTGGAAAGCACAGTATTTCAATAATTAATTACAATTGCAAGTATTTATTTTTCATTTACGCTATTTCTAATTTCCTGATCAGGCCCATGTGTCCCTTAGATTTGTGGTAAGAAATTTGTGGGGGATCATGCAACTATATAACATTATACATTTTCTACATTTGAAGTCTTATACAGGACAAATCACTGACTCAAACCATAAGTTTGTCACTGTATAGAATATAAATGCTAAAACTGACACAAAGCAGATTACATCTTATTGAAAAGTTCAAATATTTAGTTAATTCAGCAAATATTCATAATGATTTACAAGGCACTCTAAAATGCTGGAGAATATAAAGAATAGAAGAGACTTTTCTCTCATATAATTTTTACAAATGAGTTCCATTTTTAGTACTATATTTGCTATCAACTAACGGTTAACATACTTCCACTTTGAAATAAGTACTCTAGAACAGACTATATAAATAGCATTGCCTCTGCTGCCGAGTAGCCATATTTTAAAGATGGGCAAACTGTCATCTCTCACTAGCGCTTTTAACGTAAAGCAGATTAGGGATGAGTACTGTACATATCCCCACTTCCTTGCAAATCACAAGAAGACTATCAGGTAGTTGAGACAGCATAAGCACAAAGAATGAACTCATATTTTCCGGTAATGAATGAATTAAATAATTACGTTTCCACTTCCTCTGATTTTAATAATAGAGATGGAAATCACATTTAAGAAAAATAGGAAAACAAATTATTTCATAGGTACACATTGGCTTGCGTTCTTGGAGAAGACAGCTGAATGCAGGAAAAAAAAACCGAGACGCTTTATCATACTTAATAAATTCACGGCAGGCTGAGTACCTTGAATCAAAAAAACAAAATAAAACAAAACTATTTCCACTAGGTTGAGACTAATTTTTAAACCTAGCCACAGTGAGAGATTAGGACATCATCTGACCTGTCCGCCGGATATTGGACACAGAGGCCGCAGGTCAGGGGAAGAACTTTCCCCCAACAGTGGTGTGGCTTCTTTGCTAAACACACCCGCTCCCCTCTAAAATAAGACAGGCTCTTACTACATCATTTAACACTGGTGAAGGAGATTCAATGTTCTCGCCTTCACCTGGATCCCCCTCTTTCCCTCCTCACCATGCTGAGCGAAGCACGACCTCAGAGGTCTGTCTGCAAAAGTCAAGTTGAGTTGTGTGGACAGACGCTCTCGGGTTGTCACGACGACAAACCCCGCCCACCCGCGGCCCGCGTGGTGGTGGGGGAAACCTCCACCCTCTGCGCAGTCGCGCTGGATTTTTCCGGATGGCGCCACGCCCCTCCCCTGACAAGTTTCTCCCCCTGCCTTCCTTGCTTCGTTACTAGACCGACGGAGGAGTGGAAGCTACCTGAAGTTTTTCCGGCTGTGTCGTGCGGGAAAGTGCGTGAGTGCCGCTACCGGGGTGTTTCGTTCCGTTTTGCGGACCCTGGGATCTGCAGACGGTGAAGTATTCTCTGGGCGAGGATATTCTCCGTTGTGGGAAAGGGTTTCTGAGCGTCTTCTGACATTGACAGGCTCTCCCCCGTTGTTTCCCTGGAGTGCGAAGAATCTTTGCGAGGGTTTCTAGAAGGAAAGGGGCCACCCCAGCTACGCGATTGGGTCCAATAATGACCCGGGTTGGCTGCCAGTGGGGTGACGGGCTCAACTGGCAATTTAGATAAAGAATTGGCTCCAAGTGGGTTGGTTATTTTTATATGAGTGACCTTCGGACTCTTCTCCTTGCACATGGTTCTCTTTAGTGCCTGCGCAAGGTATATGCCCGTTATTCTCAGAGCCGCTGTAAGCAAGGACTGGAAAGGACTTGAAGCAACTCCTGGGCAAAGTTATTTCTTAACCGTTGACGGTCGCTGAGGCCCAGCAAGGCTCAGCAGGTTATTTGCCCAAGATCAAAAAATGTGATTACCAGGAACACAACCTTCAGAATGTGTCTCCTCCCCACGTGAAGAAACACTCACTGGCAACTTAGACCAACAGAAAACTAGAAGAAATTAGTAATTTAAGATATTAAGCTCCATCCAAAGCCCAGCTGATTTCTCCATGATTTTAGGACCCAAAACCCTGTTTTAGCATAACATGACAGGAAATACTTTAAAATTACTGGCACCATTTCTCATCTCTGAATTCTAATTGTTCTGTCCCAATGCTCTATCTAAATCTACCCCAATGTCATTGATTAAATGTATTATTAATAAATATTACTGAGCTAGTCTTTGTGGGTTACAGTGTTATTATCCCTATCATAACAGAAATCCAGGTTGTGGGACGTTTTTGACATCCCACCTCCAAATCTCTGGTGGTTAGATAAACATGTTAATGTTGACTTCGTATAGGTCTGAAGTCAATGGTATGGAAGTATGCTTTTGCTTTAAATTATTTTTCAACTAAAATATTGTTTATGGTACAAAACCTCAGTCCACTGAACTAGGATTCATGCAGGAAAGCGGGTATTAGTTCTGAATTACCTTTAAATGGTAGGCGTCTTGGGGAAAGGACTTGCCCAAGGTCTCTCTCTTCTGGGAGGAGGAATTGATATGGATGTGATAGAACAGGCTGGGTGGGGTGTGTTCTCGGAGTCACTGTGCTACAAGAGATTATGCTGGTGAGCTTGGTTCTCCTCCAGTACTTCTCTTGCAATCTGCATAGAGTAAGAAGGCCCTGTTCTCTCCTCTTTACCTTCAGACAGGTGTTGTATCTACCTGTCTGAACAGGTATCTACCTGTCCGAACATGGATAACCATCTCCTTTCAACTCACTTACATGATCTGACTTCCAGTTAGGATTAGATCAAAGTGTATGCCAGCCTTTGGAGGCAAAATCTCAGGCTCCCTACCTCTCTGATTACATATCCTTTGGTGCTGGCAAGTGTGTTGGAGTACGTTTTTGTGTGAAACTTTTTAGGTTTAACTGGTTTGGGGAAATGTGCTTCATCTGTTTGAGTCAAGTCTACTAGAACCCAATAAATAATAACATTGCATTGCCTTTCTTTGCCAGTTTTCTTTCAGCTTTGATTGCCATCTGAACGTTATGGGGAAGAGTGACTAACAACAGCTTTGAATGTCATAATCCCTAGTAAATGACAGTTCTTAGTTAACCCAGCACTGGAGTCTTCACTTGTTAGCCCAGTCACTAGAAAAAAAAGCCGTCAGTGGGGATTGTTCCTCCCACTCCTTTCCTACCACACACATCCACACTCTCAGAATCATGAGGGACTTCTTTTCATCCCTAACTCTTTTGACTCTTTACAAAGAAAACTTCATGATTTCATGCACAGTTACGGAGCAGTCCCAGGTCCTGGCTGCACTTGAACAATTCATTTCAACAATTGCAGACCCAAGGAGACCTATTTCTCCCAAAGACTAAAATAAACTTAAATGGCTGAATGTCAGTGTACACTAATAAAGATTAACTGCCTTAATTTGTTTAAATTAACATATCAATGAATGGGGCAAATTTGCCTTAGCCACATCCAGCTACTTTTTTTGCCGGGAAAATCCTGTGTAATGCATAATTTGTAAAAAGAACAACAGCTAAAAAGTACAATTTAAGGCACATCCATAAAAGCTTGCAGAAATTTACAAGCTGTGAATTATTAAATAAAACTATGCTCTTTCCCAGGAATTAAACAGGCTATAATTTACAATTGGAAATTACATCCATGTAGATTTAATTCAGAGTTTAAAAGCATATGGTTTTTAAAAATTTTGCTGAATTTAAGCATTTTTATTTTTATTCTTATTTATACTATTACAGTTGTCCCAATTTTCCCCCCTTTGCCCTCCTCCACCCAGCCCAACTGCCACTCACACAGCCAATTCCCACACTGTTGTCCATGGGTCATTCATACATGTTCTTTGACTATCCCTTCCCCTTCTTTCCACCCTTCCCTCCTTCCCCTTTCCTCTGACAGCTGTTGGTCTGTTTCCTCTTTCCATGTCTCTGATTCTGTTTTGCTCAGAACCAGAGACATGGAAAGAGGCTATTTTTACTCTATTGTATGTTCATGCCCCCTTTATCTAATATTAGTTGACCACAGAGACAGTTTGTTTCTGGGCTCGCTGTCCTGTTCCATTGATGTATATGCCTGTTCTGCCTATACCAGACTTTTCTTTATTATAGTGGCCTTGTAGTATAGTTTGATATCAGGTATTGTGATCCCTTCAAGTTTATTCTTCTTTCTCAAGATTGCTGAGGCTATTTGGGATCATTTTTGGTTCCATATAATTTTTAAAAATATTTGTTCTAGATCTGTGAAATATCCCCTTGGTATTTTAATAGGAATTGCATCTTTATAACCATTACTTTGAACTCTATGTCTGATAAATTGCTTGCCTTGATTTCACTTAGCTTTTTCTGGAGATTGCTCCTTTTCTTCCACTTGGATGTTGTTTCTTTGTCTCCCCATTTTACTCGTCTCTTTGTGTTTGTTTCTATGTATTAGATTGCTTTGCTTTGACTCTGTCTTGTGGAGTGGCCTTGTGTGTTAGGAGTCCTGCGGACCCCAGTGGTATAGACTCCTTGATCTCCTGAATGTATGCTCTGGGAATATTCTGTGTGCGTTAAGGGGACTCTCCTGTTGTGTTTAGGTCCTGATTGCTATTTGCCTGTCCACTGGTGGGAGCTGCCCTCCACCTGGCTATGAGGCTCATCCTCCATCCGGTGTCGTATGCTGTTGTATAGGTGCTGGCAGAACAAAGCAAAACAACACAAAATCAGCACCAAAACAAGCAACCCCTCCCTGATCACTACAGCAATATCAACAATGAGAGAGCAAGGAATAGTAAAAGCAGAAAGAGAAATGGAGCAGTAAAGGGGAAAAGGAAAAAGACTAGGAAAGGACCAAAGAAAAGTGATTATGAGGAGAAATGGGAAGAGATCTACTATTTGTAATGAATTGAAAGAAGAAAATGGGGAAAAGGAGCACAGAAAAAAAAATAAAATAATAAAAGGAGAGAAGGGAACAGTGATCAAAAGAGTAGGAGATGTGAAAGAAAAATTAGAGCACCAAAATTAAAAGAAAAAATAGATTAAAAAATAAATAAAACGTCTATGAAAAAAGAAAAAATAGCTAAGGTATGGGAAAAGAGCCAAGAGTATTTGTCTCAGCACAGTTCAGATCTTGCCTTCCGGTTTCTCCCGAGTCTGACGTAAGGCAATTACAGGTGCTGTCCACGTCCAGCCCTCAGCCGTCTTTTCGAAGATACTGGTGATTCAGTTTGTAGCTGATTCCTCCAGGCTCGGCTGTTCCCAGGGTGGGCCAAAAATGCTCTGCAAAGTTGGCTCTTATCAGCACTGGGTCCAGGGGTGTCAGCAAATGTCCCAAGTCATCACAGGAACCGCTCTGCCTGCCGGCCGGCCTGCTGTCCATCTTAGCCTAGTTGCAGAGCCACTATTTCTGAGAGGGCTTCTGGCGGAAATGGGGCTGTGGTTTCTGGATCTCCCGTGGCAGGTGCCTTTCAGACTTTAGGGAAGGTGGTGGGTTTGTTCCCCCTCCCCCGAGCCACTAATCTGAGTCTGTCTGGGATTATTTCCCTGTAGTCAGCAGGTTTACAGAGCCCAGATTTTGGGTCTGCCAGATCCCAGGAGGGTGATTCGATGGTGCCTCTGTGGCTCTCCTGTGAGGGGAGGCACCAGGCTGTTTCCCATGATAGTGTGTGTGTTTACTGCACTCTAGTGCCAGTCTCTGATGACCCCTGAGTATGTTTACTTTGCTGTCACCTCAGCAAGGGTTGAGATGCAGAATGGGAGAAAAGAAAAAACAAAGCATAACACCAAGACAGAGTAAAACTACCAAAAGGAAAAAAAAAGTTGCTAAGTGCAGTAAACAGGATCTCAGAGGTTGTGTGGAGGGGATTTCCACAGGGTGGGGGGAGTGTACCCCACAGGGGACGGTATTTGATTAGCCCTGGGAGGGGCCGGCTCTTCTCAATGACTCCCCGACTTTCCCCATGCCTCCCACTCCAGACTTTCCTCACACACCTCCAGTCTGTGCCACCCTCCTTTCACTGGGGCTCAAGGTGGATAGCTGCAAACACACCACCTATGCTTTGCCATTTAAGGGGGGGAAAGATCTCCAGCCATTTTTCTCTCTCCCCAGAGCAGAGGGCCCCCACGGTGCAGACTCCTTGGTCTCCTGATCTGGGTGCTCTAGGAATGTACTTTTGTAGGCTATGTGGACTCTTCTGTTTGGGAGCTGATTTTCCACTGGCTCATTCCTTGGTGGGAATTTTCCCCCATCTGGCTAAGGGGCTCAATCCCTAAGCCTCTACTTTGAGAGGGTGTGTAAGGGGTGGGCTGGATCCCCAGTCTGGGCACATACAGGCTACCTATGGACTCCTGTCTCATACTGACACCTCTACCTCTCCCTGCTTTTCCCCTATCAACAGAATATATACTGTGTGCATCATCTTTTAAGTCTCATATCGTCCTGATGGGGTGGGAGAGGGAAGAGTCCACCAAAACTGTAACACAGGATGGTGGTCAGGTGCTCACACCGTTCCCTCCAGTCTCAGCCTTGGGGTCCTGCCCCTGGTGCTCCCAGCTCCTCAGCTGATCCGCATCCTCCTCACTGAGACCCTGTCCTATTTGAGGTTCCAGCGGTGCCTGGGGCTGGGGAAGCCACAGCCCCCTCCAGAGCAAGATCCATAGTCCCCCAGGTCCTGGCTTCTGGTGGCAGGAGGTGGGCACGGCCACAGCCTGGCCAGTGCAGAAATCAGAGAGACAAGTCTGGGTGCTCAGGCACAGTCATTCTGGCAGCTTCTTCCTGAGGAGGAAGGAGGACATTGACAATTCCACAAAAGGGCTGCTGCTCCAAATCTGTGAGCCAGAAGCGGAAGGCTGGGTGGTAGTTGGGGCAGCAGTAGATGGCGGCTCCACAGGAGAGCCTGGGCCGCCTGCCCCCGAGTGCTCTTGCAGGTGCACAGGCACTCCCACACTCGTACTCGGTCACACATGCTGTGATCCACACTCAGCCAGATTTTTGAGTTGACTGCTCTGTGGTTTAGCTGCAAGACCTGACTGGGGATGGGAGCAAGTGGATGGAGCTTCCAGCTACTCTGTAGCCATTTTAGAGCCCTAAAAGCACCTGGTTCTTAAGAGTCAGTCTTCAGTAAAATTAGACTGTATTTGGAAAATGGCTCTCAGCCAAACAAGGTGGTTTATAAAGTGAAATTAGGTATTAAGATAATGGGATAAATACACCCATCTAAGTTCACCCCCCCACCCCCCCAAATGCACTAAATTTTCAGGAAAGAGATATAAAAAGTTGGAAAAATGAAAGAGATGACAATAAAACTGGAAGCCGCAGAGCAGGTGAATGTGACTTAGCACACCATTAAATCTCAATATATACTGCATTATTTGCAAAAGGCACTGAAAGAAGGCCATTGGAACTGGAAAGGAAAAATGAAGTCAAGAGGATTAAATGAAAGCTATTTAAGCAACACTTGTTAAGTGACTGCACCCCGTCACTCCCACAGAAGACTGGAGGCTTATTTGTGGACAAAATAGTACTAGTCTCTGGACTGGGGTGTTTTTAGTCATACTATGTACATGAGAACCACGGTGAAAATAAATTAAGTAAATTTGAATATACATAACACTGAATGCAAGGCCCACATTCCTCTTCCACTGAACAGGCAAAGCCTCAGAAGAATGGAAGACTCGACTCTTCCAGTCTTGGGTTGGGGAATCTGACCAGTCCCAGAGGAAAGATCTAAGACTGACAGCAGAGGTTCCCCCGGTGAGGGGCTCACTCAGATCGCCCTAAGTGAAGCTCGGTCTGTAAGTTGCGACCATGTATGCAGCCCTTCTAAGATGCATTTTTTGGTCTTTCACTTCTAAGAGCACAGAAAAGGTTTGCCAGTCTTTGGAGGAAAGCTCGGAAAGGATGCTGCAGAGGCAAGCAGAAAAAGAGTAACTTGGAAGAAAATAACAAAACTGAAAGCAAGCTAACATCTGTGAACTAAAAGGAAAAGAACTTGTTCTGCTACATTGTATGCTTGTCATGTGAATTAGCTCATAAACTAGTACAAAAAGGGGATTATACAAGTTCTAACATGGATGTTGGCTCCTATATGATTTATTAACTTCAGCAAGAAAAGTCTTCACTAAGTGCTCACACTCAGGGCTCCTCCCCCAGAGAGGAACACCCCATATTATTCAGCTGACTGGTAGCACATTGAATCACCTACCCTGACCACTAATGGCTGCCTACTGCCATGTGCATCCCACCAGCATCTCCCAATCATACTCTTAGCATTTTTAAACTATTACTGAGGAACTGACATAAACTACACTTATTTAAATTATAAACACAATTTGATAAATCTGGCATACACATACACTTATGAAACCATCACCACAATCATAATGAACACCCATCATTATCAAAGATTTCCTCCTGTTTCTTTTGGTCCCTTTTAGTCTCCAGCCCGGCGCCCATTCCCACGCTACTCTGTTAGTTTTGAGCATTTTAAACATCTCCATGAGTCTGCAACTAGGCTCAGAGCAGTCCAAGTGATCCAAATTAGCTCTCCAGGTACTCATTTCTGTTTAATAGTTGTTTAGTTGCATAGGATTTGAGTGGTCTGTCCCAAACCGATTTTCCCCATAAGCCCTGTTATTTTTAATGATGAAAGGCTTTTTTAGGAATACATATATGCAGTCTCAAAGTACTTCCCACAAAATACTTCAAAGGGAAAAAATAAGAGTAACATTACAGTGAATAATCCAAACACCACCTTAATGATAAAAATTAATATCAACTCTAACAAATTGGGATTGTGTCCACCTGATAGAATACAGCAAAATAAACGAACCATCATATCTATTATTTTTGCCCAAACTACACAGCCCGAGTCTAGCCATAAATTAACATCAAAATAAATCGGCAAAGTGTCATTTTGGATTTGATCCTTTTGCTATAAAACATAAAGGGCACCTTTAAAGCAATTGCAAGAACATGAAGTGGCTGTGGATCAGACAGGAGTAACATAGCAATGTTAACTTCCTGATGCTGATGGTTTTATTGTTCTGTAGGAAAATGCCCTCATTCATAGAAAATACACTCTGAAGCTGTCCTACCCAGTGTGGTGGCAACTAAATCACGGGTACTCATAAGCACTAAAATGTAGTTTGCATGGCACGTTGAAATAGTATTTTAAATATAAAAATGTTATTAAAATTCACATTTTATTTTTTAATATGGACTACTAGAAAATGCAAAATTATGTAGGTGGCTCATGTATTTCTACTGGATGGCTCTGCAAAGTATTCAAGTGGATCAAATAGCATGTTAGCAACTTCTCAAATACTTCAGGAAAAAATACTAGTAGTATGTTGCAAGAATGAAATTATTTCAAAAGAAAAATTATGTTCATGAGGACCAGTAAGTATAAAAATGTTTTTGTAGGTCATTGGGAAAATGGGAATTAGAGAATTTTGAAGGAGGCCGTAAATGACATTTACTTTGGGCCTGCTTATGATGTTAGGAATGTTATGATTTAATCCCCACAATTATTAACAAGTATTGTGAACTGTTTTCTATGTTTAGTTTGTCATGGTGCATTTAAGGAGCTGTCTGCCATGCAGCACCAGCGAATCACACGTAAGACAGTATAATCCTACTGAATGCTGCCTGCTCACGGAACCCCTCCGGTTGTTCACTTGGCCTCTTCACCACCCACCTTCTTGCCCATCTGCCATTATCATGGGCCTTGTTGACTCACACCGCCAGTTTCTCCTCTTTAGCCTTTCTTAAGATAGCACCCTTCTAGATTTGACCAGGCAGAATAGTCTTTCTTTGATGATAAGGAAATTTGCTTACGTCTCCCTCAGGAGATGTGAGTTCTGGGAGAGCAGGTATCTTATCTGACCAGTGTTCATAGCTGTATCCCCATACCTGGAACATAAAAGTGCTCCAAGTATCAATGTGATCAAAAAAAAAGTTAGAATTTTCCCAAAATGTAAAATCTTCTTCCTTTGCTCCTTTTTTAACTACAATAGTTATTTGCAAAGAAACTTTTCTTTTCTTTAGGTATGCTGTGGTTTATTATCCACGATAATGAAAATGGCCAACACTTTACGAGGAGAAGTACTGAATCTTTATAAAAATGTAAGTAATTATGTTGCCAATTTTATAAATATTATTATATGACATGGATTGTTTAGAAATATATAATCTTTCTTTTTTAAGCTGCTGTACCTTGGACGAGAGTATCCAAAAGGAGCAGACTATTTTAAAAGGCGTCTGAAGAATGCTTTCCTTAAAAACAAAGATGTGAAGGACCCAGAGAAGATCAAAGAACTTATCAGACGGGGCGAATTTGTAATGAAAGAGCTAGAAGCCTTATATTTCCTTAGGAAATACAGAGCTATGAAACAACGCTATTACTCAGATACCAAAGACACTAACTAACTGATCATTACTATTATTTGGCTGAAAACCAGTGCCATCTCTTTAGGTATAACAAACAAAAATAATTCTAACTTCAAATGGCAACATATACACATCATGTAAAAAATACTTAAACTGCCCTACTGAACTAAAAACAGGTTTCAACTTCTATTCATACGCAGTTTTATCAGCAATCCTTTATGCACAATTTTATACTAAAATAGAAACTTAGCTACATAATGTTGCCAACTACAAATTATAAATTCATGGGTACCTAATTTCTAATGAAAAAATAATGTACTTGAAACAGTTTTAACTTAATAGTTTTTTGCCAATTATTCTTAACCCATTTCTCCATTTTACTGACAATGTCATTTAATTCACATGTAACTAGGCAAAATAATTTCTTGAACACTATTCTCTTAATTTTTGAAGGAGCACCTTATTTTTGACTCCATCTGGTACATTAGGAAGGTTCACTACAAATCAAATAGCTTCTGCTCATGATTTTAGTGCAGTTAGAGAATAATAATATATATGAAGATTACTTCTGATCTTGAAATAGCCTGCCAGCAATTGTCATTTCATAAAACATATTCAATATTTCCATTATTTTGCTGCTAGCTCCCTTTAGGCCTTAAAACCAATTTTACCTGTTGTGTATCAATTACCTTCTTTGATAAAATAATAAATATTGTTATTTTTTGTCATAAAGGCAGATCTGTTTTGTACATACTTCTAAATGAGTTGACATGGCAATAGACTTAAACCTAAGATGGTTTTAAGCATATGCAAACACTTAAATCTTTACATAATGTGCAGGGCATCTTTCATAAATAAAGAATATTTCTAACTTACAAGCTGCAAAGAAGATTTACTAGTACACTGTAGTGTCAGTGGCGTATAAATGACTCCATGTCAATTGTGGGGCAAATGTTTCAAATTTCTGTCAAGAAATACACACTGTCATAGACACCGTAACTTTTTATTACATTACAATAATTAGGAGCAGTACAGTTCATGACAAAAATATTACAAATTTCAGATCACTTCACAGCACATACTCCTATAAACATTTAAAAGTTAATTTTAATGAAAAGAGTGGTCATTCTTTAATGTTTGATATGACCAACATTCCTAGGTCAGCGCAACCAAATGATGGAAAACAAACTGGATCACACTGCATATGCCCCACCAAAAAAGCACAATGTACAAAATGTGCATGTTTCAGTTTACACTATACAAAAATAGTTAAAATACATTCCAGGTAAACATGTTACATTAAGAAATAGTACTAGTAAGAAATTGGCACTCAAAGGAAAAATGCAAAAGTAGTTTCAACATGAAAACACAAGACAGTGGAACTGGAAACTTTTGGATAAAATATTACACAACCCATTTAGCTCTATGGGGGGGTGGACCCTCTGTAACCCACATTTCTGTAGGCAATAACTGTTTTCCCTAAATTCATCTAAATTACCTAGCATCATCCCAAACAGGCACTTAAAACTATTAAACTAAAACAAGTTTTAATCTAGTTATGACTGTGTTTTAAGAACTGATGTGAATATATCTCTAGAAAGTAATTTTCATTTTCTGAAAGAATTTGCAGCTACCCAGTTGTATGCTGTCAAACTTATCAAAACAGATTTCATGCTACCCAATATTAACATGAAGTTATTAAATATAAATTTGGTTTTATAGTAACTGATAGGTTTTAAAAACCATTAGCACATAATTATCAAGAAATTATTACTTTGTAAAGTAATAATGTAAATGGACAGCTTTTATTGCCTACAAAAAAACTGTGTATATATTGTTTAGAAAAAATGACTAGGAGAAAAAAACATCACTGGAATACAAATGAGATGAATTTGTGCAAACTGCAACTTAACATGCCTCACAAGATTTCTTTATATTATATACTAGGACAAAATTGTGCAGGTGGCAAAGGTTTTGATAATCTATGAAAGTTAGGTTCTAAATTCCTATGCAGTGTGACTCAGTTAAAATAGAGCCTAGAATTCCTAATTAGGAATATCCACTTGAATTATACTACAGACTTCTGCTACATTGTTCCACAAACATGTTAGAATGTCTAAGACTATGTAATTTAGCACTTTTTCAATTTTAACAAGGATTTTTATCTTTAAGGCTGTAATAATTAAATAATATTTATGTTACTTCTAGAATCATCTCTCCCCCTTTAAAGTCTCTATGAAAACAACCTTTTATCAAATCATTTAAAATTCATATGATAAAGGAAAATTACCACTGTTTTAAAAAAACTGTCCTAAAAAATTGTCCTATGTTAAAAATGCAAGAGTCCTAAAATTCCCTCACTCAATTATGCACTGCTGTTCTTAAAGTCTGGCCACTTCTCTCTCTTGGATAGAAAAAAGAAGAGGTTCTATACAAGTCTTAACATCCCACCTAGATGATATTCTGCAAGTCTGTAGTTTAGCAAAGCATTTCAGAAATCATAATGATTTCTACAAAGAAATTTTCTTTTCTGTAAATTAGTTCAGGCATCTGTTTATTCCTACTTAAACATAACTTTAAGAATTCAATATTTAATTTTAAAAGTCCATTTTAATTACTTACACAAGGAGACCAACCAGAATATTATACATTTGGGAATTTTAATATTATTATGTCATACAACTTAAGGTATACTATAATTGTCCCAATAGAATCACACAATTATGCCAAATAAAAAATATATAATCAAGTTTCCTCCTTTAAAACAATGAAATAAAAGTAATTTATATAAAGTAGCTTGATTAACCAGTTACAATGGAATCAGAGCAAAATAATTACTCCAGAAATGGAAGAAACTTTAAAGAGACCAACTCCCTTCCTCACAAAACTAAAATACGCACCATGTGCCAGATGCCTCAGGAGGGTGTCAGACCACTTAGAATATCAGCACTTCTACTTCAGGAAAGGGAGTAAGTCCCCTTTACCACAGTATCTCCAGTGCCTGTGTAGTGCCTGGCATTTAGTGGGCACTCAAGTATGTGGAATTAATAAATCATGCTAAAAGGTAAGCTTTATGAATTAAATTTTAAAGTATTTTTCATTGTAGGCTTTTAATTATTAAAACAATGCAGTATGTCACTGTTACTGTCACTGCAGTATAAATTATCAAAGGAAAATTTTCAGCATTACCCTTATTAAATTCTTCTTCCACTGGATAGGGTTCTGTCTACTCATAGAAGATATGAAAACTCCTACATGGTCACTAATGGACCAGGCAGCAAACAGATAATATTCAAAAGATCAAGGTTAAATTGCTACAGCCACCACTTCAAAATGAGCCATTAGGTCCAATCTCATGGTAGTATCTGTCAGGTCATGTTGAGCCTGAGGAAGGGAGTAAGATGTAGGGCATTTTGATGTGACTTGATGGGAAGTCTTCAAGGAGATTACTAAAGCAGCATGATTCTTGAATGTTGGGGAATTAGACATATTGAAAAGCATCAAGTCGTGGGTCATACAGAAGGGTAGGCTGGCAAGATGACACTTATATGGGAGAAGGGTGTTAAATTTTGAGAAAGGATATTCAAAAATAAACTTCACCTCTTGTACAATTTTGCCTAAGACTGGCACTGAAGATGGTAACACAGGTAAGAACTTGTAGATTATGCTGAAATTGACAAATAGGCATATTTTTATGTAAACTGAATGTAAATCATGTCATTGTAATGCTAGCTATAGCCTTGAGATGACTTATTTTAACATAAAGAAATGGGTAAGTGATTTACCCAAAATTGGAGTTGTAAAGACACCAGAATCTAAAGTCACTTTCCTCTGAGTCCACTGATTATTTTCACGTCAACATACCTTCTCACTTCAAATATCTTTAAATATGGAAGATTTTAGCTGCACTAAAATAATCATTTTGTTAATTTACCTAGTTTTAAGCATTAGATATTCTTCAAATATGGACCAGACTTTGGAAAATTTTATGAAATATCACTTTAGCTATGTTAACTAGCCAATACTAGACACTCTGAAACTCTTCCTTTTCATTATTTAAAAAAATTAGTCTTCCCCATCCCCACCCCAAAATCTTATTTAAAATAACTTATTTTAAGAAGTTTGGTTTGTTTTTTTTTAAAGTGATGTTCTTGGTCTGCAAGCAGAGCCACCAACAGTGAGAACGTATCTTGCTGAGCTAGCCAAACTTCTCCCAGTTCCCGTTTTTGACCAACCAATGCTTGACAACACAGGAAGACCATGGGGATGCTCTCCACGCTGTGAAACTCACAATGAAGCTCACGGGTTCACACAGGACTTCAACTTGTTGTTTTTAACACCTACTAAGCTAACTGGCTCAAATAATCTTTAATACCAGAATTAAAACTATTTTTAAAGACTGAAGTTCAAGAAAAGGTTTAAAATTACTCTAGGAAACGGCAATCTGACACATGGTACTACATTTAATTCCTATGAGAATTTTTACACGTTAAAATGTTTTAAATTATTACAAAAATTTAGTAGCATGTAAATATAGCTCACAAATGGTTGCTATAATCCTCATTACATACCAAATCTCCATTAACAGAAAAAGCTATTCAGAGTATTATAGGAATTTATCTCATATGGAAAGTAAATGGCCTTTTAATAATTTTCCATTGTCCTTTTTTTCCATTTTTTCCTTTTATAGAAAAAATATAATATTTGGAGGAACATGACTATAACAAATATCAGTGGAAAGAGGAAGAAAACCTTTATGAACAGTGTAAATTTACATTCATTGGGGTGGCTGAAACTAGAGGACATGAAGCCTACAAGAAGAATCTATAGGAAGCTCAGAAATTCATGTTCCCTCAATGTTTCTGTAAAACCAATAGTGAAATTTCAACTGAAATTATAATTAGCATATATGTAATTAGATAAAACAGAATAGGGAGGATTCAAAAGTTTCATTAATTTGTTTCACACCAAAGTTCACAATTGGTAAGAAAAATAGGAAGTAATCAACTGCATGCACCAAAACCCAAGAAATAAATCTCAGGTATTCAATTTCTTTTTCACAGGCATTGCTAGTTCAAAAACCAAAACTCAGGGAATACTGGCACTTAGAGGAAAAAAGTTTCCACTGTCATTTTAAAATAAGCATTCAGGATAAAAGCTAACAGTTTGGATGGAGCAGAAAGAAAATTAGGTAATGCTAGAACAGATGCTAATAATTTAGTGTAATGTACAAAAATTACCACTTAAGTATGCCTTAAGAAAAAAGTACAAATTGTATTTACATGATTATACACTTTGTCTTTGACTTCTTTTTCTTCTTTTTACCATCTTTGCTCATCTTTTCTTTATGTTTTCGAATTTCTCGAACTAATGTATAGAAGGCATCATCAACACCCTGAAATATATAACAAGTATTAAAATGTGAATTTATCTGATGATTTGAGGTGTACAGATAAACTAATGGAAACATCAACAGTGAGAAAGAATAAGGACACTTTACATTTTTCTTTAGGCAAGTGAATATTTATCGCATTTTTATGCTTCTTTAATGTCTTCTTCATGAATATTTTTGTCAATATTATAGGGAACACTGACTTTACTCAAAGGCAATGAAAAGTAATGGCACAGAATCTTACATAAGCTTCACAAATGACATTTTCCTAGAACTTAATTTGCTATCAATTTTTACATATTGACACACCTTGTTAACCAAAATCCATATGCATGTGTGTGAATATGTATTTATACTTAATTATCCCTGAGTTTCTAAACATTAGATATTAAGCCATGCAAGTATAAACTATTTCATAAATACTTACAGTAACAACATTTGTGTTGTTTCAATACTTATTTAAAATCATTAGACTTAGATAATTACAAAGCAGTGAACGGTATTTGAATATACTTCCAGTGTTTCAAATATTATATAGAGGTGTGTTAAAGCATTGGTTTCGATTATACTCAATCATTTAAGTAAGAAATTTAAAGTAATCCCAACACAAGATACTACTTTGAGAATGTAATGCTCAGATTTGTGGAGAATGGAGCTAAATTACTTAAATAGTGGTGTAATTTACCAATTTAAAGAACATTCTCTTTTATTTATTATTGTCTTAGTTTCTTTTTAGTATATTAAGTATTCAAAAGTTTGCCATATAAAGCAAATGCTTCATCTTCAAAGAAATACCCACTTGGTCATTGTGATCCATTTGGCCAACATCTATTTGTGATCAAGGTAATGTATCTAAATCAATATTGGATGAAAATGATTCTAAAACAGTGATTTTCAACCCAATTCATACTGTGAAAGTGGCACTCTGAATATAGTAGCAGGACAGATTTTGACCGTGCAATACTGAAATAATACAAGATTTGTGCATGTCAACTCTTCTCATGTCCCTGTGAGAGCAAATTAAATATAAAAGTACAATTTTAAAAATTAAAGAAAAATGTAATCCTCAATATACTTTAAAATCTCTTCACCTCAGTAGTTATTTTTAAAAGCTTGTTAACATACTGATGTTTTTCAACCTAGACACTAGAGGGAGTGCTAGGAAACAAATACCCAACAAGTGAAATTGTATAAATCACATCACCCTAAAAACAATGAAAATGGGGCTTTTACTCATTTTGGCCATCTCTGCTGACATTCATATAAACACATTTGTTATGTTATCTTGAAAATAATTTAAAATTTAACTGATGTTTCTCCTTTATTGTATTACTAAAATCTTCCAAAATTAGTATTTCAAAATTATAGCAAAATTAAATGAGGGCATTTTCCAGTTACAGTTATCTAATTTTCACAACAGATTTAAAACTCAAAAAGTATTACCAATAATTTAAGTGAAAAGAACAGTAATGAGGTCTGCTCACATTATAACACATATTAGCAAGATAAAAACCAGCATTATTGATTTGAATACCAGTGATTAAAAGTGCTTCAGTAAAGCTGCCACGCTGCACTCACTGAATGCTCCCCACTTTGTGATACCATTACTAATACAATATAGGTTTTGTTTCCCCCAAAGTAGTGAGGAAACATGGTACGACAATTTATCATCAATATAATCAAAGCTTAATATACGCAAACCTTCATGCTCATCTTAACAAATAGCAAAAACTTCTAATGATATAAAAATAATTTCATAGCTCAGTGTCCCCTCATTTATAACCATAAACCCTCAGAAGGAATAGTTAAGAGAGGATCTAATCCACCTCAGTTAACCATCACAAAGTCTTTGATCACATATCCCTACGCAGTCTACTCTATTTCAACTTTTATCATGTAGAAAAATATCAAAGGTACTAAAATAGTAAAGCAGATGAAAGGAAAAGCCACATGATGGATACAGAAAACACATTAAAATTATTTTATTTATTTAGATTCGGAAATGGGAAGGGAAGGAGACAGAGGCAATGTATGGTTGCCTCTCGTGCACCCCCTCTACTGAGTGAGGACCTGGCCCGCAACCCAGGTTTGTGCCCTTACTGGGTATCAAACCAGCAACCCTTTGGTTCACAGGCCCTCACTCACTCCACTAAGCTACACCAGCCAGAGCTGAGAAGAACACATTTTAAGTTGAAAACAATGCAAGTACTTAGGAGACAACAAAACCCAAATATCTGTTAACATTATCTACTTCTAAGATTCTGACAAGTACTTTAGGTTCATATTGCACTGAATTTTCCTTTCTATCCAATGTTACTAAAATTAAATAATTTCAATGATTAGAGAAATGTTACAATTAATCAAAACAAAGCAGTAAATGCCTTTTTTTTTAGGAACTAGTCATTCTCATACACACATATATAAGACAAAAGTACTGTCCCCGTAATTATTTTGTTTAAACTCATCCATTTTTGAACTAAGAAAACTAACTGGTATCTATTTATCATTGTAAAATTAATTTTGTAAAAACATTTTCATTTAAAATGTTAAGTATTACCAAGTACACTTTTTTCCTGCCATCCATGTCCACTGAAAAAAACAAGGATTCAACTCATCGTGCCCAATTATCTGACATTCACAATACATAGGCACTGAAACTACGGTTTGCACAAATGAGGTATTTTAGAAAAGTATCTAATTCCACCTTTGTTTAAGTAAAAATTAAAGCATGAAACTTATTTTATTCTAAATAGTTCTACTTTAAAAACTGATGTAATAGTAAGATAATAAGGAGAAAATAAAAAATTTAAATTTAATTTAATTAAAAATTAAACAATCGCTTAAATCTAGTCACCACTACTGTAACTTAAGAAGTTTGACTTTCCAAAATGCATTGCAATAGTTAAATTTTACCACACCTTCTAAAATAATATAGTCTTTAGATAATGATACTAAAAAACATCAAGGGTACATAGTTTCAGTAACAATTAATGCCAGTCATGCTTTGTTTCCTCTTCTGAGTTTAGATTAGTACTAGACCACATAATATCTTTTGGAACAAAATCTATTCCAATGTATATGTTATACTTTTGGGAGCTACATTATTTCTGACCTTAAATCCATATAATAAAGACTACCTACCTTTAGTTTAATATGCATAATAAATGATAAATTACAATTTTACCTCACATTCTCACAGAACATTATTTATTACAAACAACATACATCAAAATCTTAAGCTTTGGCATAAAGTTTATGGCATCTATTGAATAAAATGTTTTCTGAGCAAGACCAAATTTAATATGGGTTGATTTAAGAACGGAAATTGAGAAATTTCACACACAAAATCCAATTGAGCAGCTACTAAGTGCCAGGAACCTCATTAGGCCATAGTCATGCAAAAATTAAAAATAGATGATTCTGGCTCTCTAAGATTTTATAGTACAGCAATCAAATATAAAGGAGGTTATTTCAAAATAACAGGGTAAGTGCATAATGGTTAAAAACAGTATACTGGGGATACACAAGAAGGGCATTACAGTCAGTCTAAGGGATTGAAGAAAGATTCTTAGAGAATCATGGATAAGTGTTAGTTAATTAAGGCTAGAGGATAAGAATATTATTATTCCAAACAGAGAGCAACAGCCAGGCCTGGAGGGAAGATAAGCAAAATACCTGGTGTTCATTTACATAAGGACAAAAAAATTTTCAAGGAGTTTTTAGAGCTAAGGCCAAAGGCTGGAGGGTAAGATGTTAAGAGCCATCTGTAACATGCTATGAAATGTGAGATTTTATTCCATAGTTAAGAGGAAGTCAGTGCCTGGATTTAAAGATAAGAGAATGATATTTAAGAGTATCTCTCCCGTTGCACTGTGAAGGAGGGCAGCAACATGTAAACCAAGTAAGAGGTTTTAATAGTTCCAGAAAGAAACCAAAGAGGCCTGAACTAATAATGTAGAAAAAGTTACAATGTAATATCATAGAAATCTGTGGCTGTCTCCACATGGGGGTG